ATTCTCATGAGTTTTAATATTCTCAAAGTTTGTTTGATAGATTTAAACTATCATCCCAGCCTATTACAGTATCTTTGAATCTTAAGTCTGTCATTGAGCAGACATATGTCTTTAATGTCCTCATTGAAATTCTGAGGCCTACACATCATTCTTTTTGTGTATCCTTGTTCTAATTATACTTTATCTATTAAGCCAATGCTAAATATCTATATTTTGCTGAACATATTTTGTACTTGAAGTATGTCAACAATACTGAATTTCTCTTCTGTCTGTTGGATTTAACCTAAAATGCTAAATATTTAGAGTGCGTCCAGTATGACATTCCAGATAGATATCATCAATATCATTGAAAATATAAACATATATATTTTACATATATATGTGAAGATACACAGATATGTATATATATGGATGTTGCATTATGCATTTATTCAGTCTTTCAGTAAATATTTATGTGCTAGACACTCTGCAAGGCACTTGGAAATACATCAGTGAATAAAGACTGACAAAAATTCCCTGTCTTCCTAGGGAAAGAGAGGCCATAAACAATAAACCAAATGTGTAGGTGTGAGTCAAAAGGTAACTGGTGCTAGGAGGAAAATGCAGCAGCATAATGGCATCAAGAAAGGGTTGCAGTTTTAAATGGAGTAATCAGGACAGACCTCATTGAGATGGTGATGCTGGAACAAAGACTTAAGGGAGATTAGGGAGTCTGTTCAAGTACTTAGACAGTTGAACTACAAACTATATTTCAATATTTGTCTAAAGGCCATTGCAGAAGGGGCAACACCCAGTGCAAAACCTTAAGGCAGGTATATGACTACAGTGTGACTGAGCAGAGTGAGTGAGGGGACAATGATTGAAGATGATGTTAGGGACTTGATCATGTACTGCCGAAGTCTTTCACGAAGTCTTTCACTCTAAATGACATGAGACCCTCTGTAAAATTCTGAGCAAAAGAGTGACACAGTCCGACTCAGATTTTAAAAAGATCACTTGGTCTA